AAACACGGCAAAGGTACGAGATAAATTGAAGAGGGGTGCTTCTTGAATTGCGAATATGTATTGAAATAATCTACGCAGCAGAAAAGGGGCATATCCTCAATTCGTGGGATTAAACTGTGAAGGGCGGGATGTTGGAGGGGATAGGGATAAGCTGTCAGTCTACTGCTACTCACGGTCGAGCTCACCGGAAATGCCTCGAATGAATGGTTCCTGGTTCCGATTACCCGTTGCGGCAAAGCTTTTGTACTCCTCATATCGACGTGCTTCTCCGAGTATGTGCAAAATGGCAACTGCTGACGTGAACTATGCCTAACTGGGTGAAACTCCAGTTTCGGGGGGGCCACTCCATTTTTTCTCCAATACTCAAGATAAGGATTAGAGGGCTCACGACACGTAATCGACTCATTTAAAGTAGACTTCTGATAAGTATCGGTGTAATGTGGAAGAAACCCTGAGATGATTTCATATTTTCGCCTGTCTGGTCCAGGGAAACAGTCCTGGACCAGGAGAAAGGACACCTCCGCAAAGGGCTAAGGGTGCAGGAGCTCCAGGGTGGATCACCTGTGCAGAAAAGTGGATGGGATGTGGGCAGGTAGTGTGGAATGTAGGACATCCACCGGTCCTTATCAAAAGTACGCTCGAAATGAGTCGTTCACTTATTATCTTATCCGTAGTGTTCGATAGCCCAAAGAACTGCTCTCTAGTACTACGGATAAGATAGCAATGGAGTGGCCCCCCCGAACTGGAGTTTCACCGCATATGTATAATCATCAGATCTATCAGTAACCCGTGCGATAAGAATTTGGACGCTATCGCAAGATACGGGAGCATCCTCTAGGACTAAGCCTAGGAGGGGACAGACACTCCGGGAAAATGAAAGTATTCCACGCTTTTTGGATTCTCTCCTCTCTGGCCTCAGCTTGGTCCTGCTTTCAACAAAAAGAAGATATTTTATGCGTTTTGAGTGCTTTGCCTCCACAACGCCCCATATCTTGCGATAGCGCCGATACTTGCCAAGAAGCTGAGGTCAAAAAGTACGGCACTTGAGCATTTTAGCACATTTCGGCATTCAGAGGGCTGCTTAAGAAAATAGGTCATTATTCTGCGTTCCATACACGAACACGAACAAGTGAGCAGCTGTGGTGCATGAAATGACACCACGGCTGCTCACTCGCGAGTTTAGTTACCCCACCATCTGAAAGCGTACCTCCTCAAATTTGGAGGTCCTCATTCACCCCATCATCCAAGGAAAATGAAAACGAATGGCTGCTGCTGGGAGCTGGCTAGGGAGAACCGAGCTTCGACATGTTGACCTAGCGCAACGACTTGGCTTTTCTGCCAAGGCATGCTCGAAGCAGCCCAGTAAATTCTAAAGCTTATTGCGAGGCGCCTTTCGTTATTAACTAAATGGCCTAAGCCTCATAGCTGATCAAATTTCCGAACTACCGTGGATAGTCCCTCCCAAACGGATAAGTGACATGTATATATAACATGACATGAATGGGTAAACCTTGCTGATTACTCCGAGATAACTGCTCTTTGTAAAGTTTGACATGAAAAGAATAGGGAGCCATCATCGATCAGAAAAAATGGCGAACGAAAGGTGCGTGTTTCCGGAATCTGAGTCTGAGACTAATTTGTATGATTTAATGTATTCCGATACCTATTTTCTTCCACACAATCAATCAATGAATGGCAAGTAAGAATCTTTCTGATCAAAAGGAAAACTTCCTCTATTTCAGGAAAGTAGAGCCTCGTCAAAGACCGAATGGCGCACAACCGCAGCCACGTACCATTCCAGGAGTTCGGCGACCAAACATTGTCGCGAATTCCCGTCCAGGAGCACCAATCTTTGAGAGTACATTCACAGTACGCTTTTACGTCATTTGTGACTTACAATTCCCGATTATGTCCAGATGAGTTCCACCGAAAAATAAGTTCGAAAAAAACCTTATAATCTTGAACCTTCTTTTTCCAACCTAAATTTTGAAGATTAGGCATAGTTCTCGTAAGGAGAGCATAAGTGAGAAATGAGGCACACTTCTATATTGAAATATAGCGTAAATATATTTATTTACTGGCCCAAATAACGAAATCCAACTTCTAATGAATCACACGCGCAGAGAATACAGAATGCAAAACAGCTGCCCCATGCTGGAATCGAACCAGCGACCTTCTGTTTACACTCCAATTCCATTCGTTCCACACAACACAAAACATTATCGCTGGTTGACTGGTCTTTGTAGAATAGTTTAATGAAAGACTAAAAGAATAATTTCTTAGCAACCGTAAAACAAAACTGATAATCAAGAATTAATATTTTCTACTTTATAAAGTATGTGGCGTTACCAATCCGATTATTATCGTTCTTATATCGCCACAAAATTATGAAAAAATGATGCAAATTAAAAAATGTTTAACTTCAGACTGGTTTAGGCGGATGCAGAGCACTTCACGTTCGTAAGGCTTGTAAGAACTCTGCACAGCCACTTGGTTCTGTTTTGCAAAGGGCTCCTATTTTCTTCTGTCTGCCCTGAAATCACCCACATACTCTGTATTTTTTATAAGTATAATTGCAAAGTTCCCCTTCTTCGTAGTATTTTTTCTTATAAACTAGTAATCCTTCAACTATGATGTAATTTAAAAACTTTGCATGCAATTATGCTTTAAAATTTGGACTGATGAACAACTTACTAGGTTCCTGTGACGTCAACTCTGCCACCAAAACGTGTGCGAGTGAGAACAAAACAACATCACCTCGTGTCCAACACACCTGTGGAACAAAATCGACAACGAGGCATCGCGACTGATCTTCGGTGAACTTTTTCGTCGCTCAAAATACCATTTATTAATTACTTAGTTACCTCTTATTATACATTATTATCCAAGAAGTGTGACTATGTGTCTGTTTGAAAGGAAATGTATAGCTCTCCTCAGTTTAGTCGCAGAGCTTTCAAAAGAGGAATCGTCTCCAGAAAGTTCTAGCGTTCCTTCTCAACATGACTATGTCAGCTGTGATCACTAGAGACGGAAGCAGGGTCAACCCTATGTTGCTACAAGTAGCAACGGGGGGTCGTATTTTGATGAGTTTGTAGAGGGGGGTCGTACTTGCTTCGGTTGTAAGAAGTTGCATGTGATGAGTGGGGAGCGGCGCGGGAGAAAATTTGCCGTTTCAGCGCGCGTATATACCTCCGCTCGCGGTAGACGGTAATTTTTTGGGGTAAAAATTGTATTTGAAGAGGGGGGCATGGTTGGGGTGGTAAAACTTTTTGAAAAGAAGCAACGATGGGACCGACCCTGGACAGAACTGAACGAACGCATGGAAAAGTGCGCCTGTGGCAGCCATTTAGGCCCCGTTCATAAATTGCGGTTAATGCGATTTGACGATTTAGCGATTATGGTGAAAGGAATATATGCGTATCGATTAGAGGATCGCCGGATACGCATCGACGGATGGCCTTATTGGCGGCGTCAGATCAATTGTGTGGCTAATCCGTTGACATACCGCGAAGATGTCAAGTCGCCTTTATCGACATTAAATCGGAAAATTTTAGATGCGATACCTATGTTTGCTTTTCAGTCGCTATGTATGAACAGGGCCTTGGGCGACGCACTGAGATTAATTCGGATTAAAGCTGTCGATTTTGGAAATAGGGACAAAACGGTCGATAGAATAGGAAGCAGATGAAAGGAAAAATATTATTGCATAGGTGGAAAAGGCCAAAATGAGATTCCAGTAAAGGGGCTTCGCAGGCCAAAAATAAGTGAAGTCATTTCCGTCGGGAACATTTGTGATAGATGTACGACGGGAATTCAATTCTTAACAGTTACAGATTTTCAATTTTCAGGGAATTCAATTCCTAACAGTTCTCAAACTTTTCTATCAACACAAACACATTCTTTTGATCTTTTCACTCTTATCGAGAATGATGGGTCTCAAGCCAGTCATTTATGGGTGAAATGGGGTCATGATTTTCCCGTGGATGATTCCTTTAAGAACAAAGGTGATTGGATAGGGACATTTATAGTGTTTTTGAAAATTATCAGTACTGATAAAAACTGATAAGAAGCATTAAAGACCACATGTCACCGCTTTTCATTAGGCCCTTCATTTGTCATTTCAGCTGTGGAATATCTGCATTCAGTAGGATTATGCGGGCTGTGGAAGACAATTGGTAGTGAGTGGTCGGTTGTGGGCAAAAACAGATGGATCATAAGGAGTGCGGGCCAAGTGCCAATAATTATGCTGGCCTGTTAGAGCTGACTGCTGGCTGTACAGTGTTTGCTTTGTATGGGTAATGTGATGCGGGACAGGGACCATACAAATTGTTTCACAGAAGACGATATCGACCGAGAAAAAACGATCAGGGTGACAAGGACGAGTTGTCATAGATTTGCTACTGTGAGACGGTATTGCCAACCGATAAGGGCTGGTAAACAGTTTGATATTCTGAAACAACCAATTCGAAAGAAAGCGTAACTTTTCCAATGAAAACATTTCATTTTAGAAATGGAATTGTTTTTCAGCCTACAAAATTTCAAATAATTAATAAAATTCAATTAATCATTTCACATAAACTTGTTATCGATAATGTGTTTCAGATCGGCTCCCACATCGCGACTACAGACTCCAACTGTTCAACTGACAGTAAAGAAATCAGCTGAAGCACAGCCGTTGATCGTGAAGGGAGGCATCTCGCTGGCGCGAGGGCACCAAAAGCAGCCCAATGCAATTGTACGAACACTAGCGCCACCATTAACGCCAAACGGCGAACTTAAAGTCGTCAAACCGTCGCAACGAAGGTCCGTTCGACCCGTCTCGTCAAAAACAAAGAAGCGAACTCAGGTGAATCACTAAATGACAAGTGTTATTTACAGCTTATTCCCAGTTACGCAAGATAGTGAATGGGATCATATTCGAGCTGAATTTCTGCGGATCAAACGTCAACATAAAAAGCTCTACGAAATGCAGCGAAAAAGTCGGGAGCAAGCCAGAATGGCTGGTGTTAAGACTCTGACAGCGGACTCAGTTGACAAGTCTGTAGAGGTGGAGTAGATTCCGTTAGATTTTTGGCGGTTCTCAGGCTTACTGCAGAACACGGGTGGTGGCGATTTTGCTAATTGACTCACATTCTCTCTTTGTTTGGGACGGTGTCGGTATATTTTATTATTTAGAGCACTGTATTGTTTAATCCGAGGATCATTATTACTCAGTTCCTTTCGTGGCTGTCGAAAACTCTAAGAGAATAAGTTGATCTCACAAACGTCTTGATATCGCGCTTCTCTAAATCAGACCTAAAGGCCGACTTTACGAAGAAAAGCTCGTTGGAAGACAAGTTACAGATGGTCAGCAATGTACGAAAGAAGGCCCCGAAATGAAATCCCTTCCTTGCCCGTTGATTTGCGCACTGATGCGACTCTCATCGTGTTTGCCATCTTCAACGCTAACACTCTCTCTAACGGCTAGAGACTCAGACACGAGACAACGCGAGAGGGGGCGCAGCGCGCCAATGGCGCGACGACTGTGCCGCTAGGTAGACCATGCTATATCGGTAGAGATATATCCTTCGATGCAAATTGCGGTCATATCCTACTCAGTGGGTTTTGTGTCTGTGGGGCCTTCTTCTATATGTTATTGTTTCTTATTAAGTTCACCACCCTTCGCTATTTTGCGTTAAATTATTCTTCAAAGAATAACCCCGATGAAACTGTGGGCACGCGCTTCATCATGTAAATGATGATCGAGTGCTGAGCGAAGATGAAATAAAGTATAATGATTTGCTCTTGGCAGCAATCTACAAGAATCCCTTCGTTCATTTGGGTGAGAAGGGAGTCGGCGCGTTCATAAGAAACACAGCGATTCAGCGTTGCGTTATACGAATTAAATCTATCGGCATTATTCTCAAATTCTCTCTTCTTGTAACCTCGGCCTTGTAAGTTTTATAAGTATCTTGTGCCTTACGAGGTTGTTCGGTGGAACATTTATTTAGTAACGGCCTAACGTTTCGACTGAATCGTCTTCTTCAGAGGCCTGAACGTGTTTCAAGCGTTAGACTTACGCTCTACACCACCAAGCGCCTCATCAACTCTAGCGGTTTCGACATCGTGTCAGAAACCCCTCGAGAAGATCAGGACAGCGCAAGAAATAAACTCACCGTTGGTTCCACCCTTTGAGCGGAAAGGTCCGCTGCCACACAGAGCGCTAGTCAGTTGAAACTGAGGAATACCAGACTGTCTCCTTATGTCAAAAAATAGTCAGGAGACGCACGTAACGCTTGTCATTCTACAGCTCGCAGTGCGGAATGAAGCGGCAGTAGATCATTTGTTATTGAAGGACACTCATCGCGGCTGTTCATTCTCGGATTTCTAGTGAATATCCAGAATGCTCTAATGCCTTCCGCGCAGAAATTTCCGTCTCTTGAGCCAGCAGCGTGCACCTTATTTCAAAGTCATTCCCGTTATGCTCCTCAACCTTATGTCTTCCCAAAGGTGTTGTCACAGTACCGCGTCTCAAATTAGCAAGATGTTCCTTGATACGAATTGCTAAAACCCTTCCTGTTTCCCCTATGTACGTAGCGTTACATGCCTGACATTTAATCTCATATATTGCTCCAAGATGAGCACAATCTCCAAGTTTTCCATTTTTTCGGGCTCAAACGATACTACGTATGGATTGGCTACTTATCTGATGTGAAAGGGATGCGCAAGGGCAGTTTCTTTCGACGCGGTCTCTCGCGGGCTAACATGCTGCCGTATTCTAGAAGTGGTGCCGTAGAGCCATTCGCAAACGACTATTCTCGCAGCAAGCTGTCGTGATTCTGCTCACTCGACATTACCTGGTAATTACCTAGTAGTGAAATGAATAAACGCAGGAAGATGTCCAGTTGGCGAAAATTCAAAATGAAAACATCAAAAAACATCAAAGAAAACGGCAGTTGGTTCGAACAGACTTATGACAAGCAGCGCATTTCCGAAAATTGTGTTATCTGCCGGCATGGAAACTTAGCGATTGTGCTCATCTTGGAGCAATATATGAGATTCAGTGTTAGGTATGTAACGCTACTTACATAGGGGAAACGGGAAGGGTTTTAGCAAGCCGTACCAAGGAACATCTTGCTAGTTTGAGACGCGGTACTGTGACAACACCTTTGGGAAGATATAAGGTTGAGGAGCATAACGGGAATGACTTTGAAATAAGGTGCACGCTGCTGGCTCAAGAGACGGAAATTTCCGCGCGGAAGGCATTAGAAGCATTCTGGATATTCACTAGAAATCCAAGAATGAACAGCCGCGATGAGTGTCCTTCAATAACAAATGATCTACTGCCGTTCATTCCGCACTGCGAGCTGTAGAATGACAGAGCGTTACGTGCGCTCCTGACTATTTTTGAATAAGGAGACAGTCTGGTATTCTCAGTTTCAACTGACTAGAGCGCTCTGTGTGGCAGCGGACCTTTCCGCTCAAAGGGTGGAACCAACGGTGAGTTTATTTCTCGCACTGTTCTGATCTTCTCGAGCGGTTTCTGACACGATGTCGAAACCGCTAGAGTTGATGAGGCGCTTGGTGGTGTAGAGTGTGCTTGAAACACGTTCAGGTCAGGAAGAACGATTATTCAAACTTTAGGTTACTACATAAATGTTCCACCGAACAACCTCGTAAGGCACAAGAAACTTATAAATCTATCGGCTATGTTATCCAGAAAAATCCACGTCGTGTGCGCTCCACGGCTAGCAATGGAGCGTGTCGAACAAATGGCAGACGGACCAAAGTTGGCCCCCTCAGAAATAAATTTCTACTCAAAGTTTGATATCTTCTTTCACAAGTTGCAGACCAGTTCATTCATCTTTCATAATGATAGGGACACCTATGCATTTATTTGATGTGATCCTGCTTTCGAAATTGAGCGATATGTGTGCGTTAAAGACCGCGACGCGAGCACTCGTCGCTAGCTAAAGCTGCATATGCTTCAAACTAAACCACTACATATTAAGTGACTACACACTAATGGGCTGCACGGGGATCATTTGCCTGGAAAGGCATGTTCTTTTAAAAATGAATTTCAGATCCCTCGATATCGAAATCGAAAGACAAGCAGTCGTAGGATAAACGTGAGTTTCGGGAAGTAACGTGGCGAGGAACGGGGGGGGGGGGGGGGGGGGGGGGGGGGGGGGGGGGGGGGGGGGGGGGGGGGGGGAATAGGCAATGGTTGGTAATTCGTAAAAGGGAGGAGTAATTTTCAGGAGAGGCGAGCAAAGGCCGAGAACGGGATCGTAACCGTAGATGTAGACCGGTCACGACGTACGGTCGATCGGGATGTTGCAGTTCGTCGTGTCTAGCGACGAAAGCGTGTATTTAATTATTATGTTATGTGCATAGTTTCCAAATAAATATGAAATAACTTTGCTATTTCTGATTCACGCCTAAAAGAGGTTTTACCCTGAATTCAATTCTTTTTACAGCAGGCACAGACAAGGATTTTTGAAAATCACAAACGCACAGCGGGAAGGGCTCTAAGAGATCTGGGAACGTGTTAGCATAATAATGGGTCCCGCCTCAGCAAGCTTTTAAGTGGAGAGGGTTTAACTCACTTGTACGGGGGACGATACAGGCTTTGCCTGAGTCACAGCGTGTTCACAGGAACGCTTACAAGGAGGGGAATGCTTCAACCATACACAGAGGAGGATTATGCGTCAGTACAGTAGTATTGTGGTATAGATGAACAATAAGATTGAAGTGCGTTAATCCTTTGCACTGTGCTTTTACAGCCTAGATCAAGACTCATAGGCTAGCAACGCTACCGAACTTCCATTGTGCTAGCGATACAAGATATCAGCTTGTGGAGGACTTAACAGCAGGGCAAGGCCCGTTGCGCAAAGAACAAAGAGGGTCGTATTCGGCTCCAACACCGAACAAAGGGAGGGCGTATCCAGACACACGGGGCTGTAATGGGGGTTAAAGAGCAGTGTCCGGCAGTGCACTTTCACGCTCTAATGTTCTCCTACTAGCTCTGCACAGTGCAGCTGTCGGAGAGTCGCACAGACAAGAGCTCCATGGGAGCATTAGAGCATGCACAGCGTCATAAGTCTCACTATCAGCCATTATTATGTCCTTAATACACGGAGGGTGCTTTCGCTCGACAGGATATGTCAAGGTCGCAATAGTCAAAAAGTGCAAAAAACGTGGTCTTTCTTCGATGATCGAACATTACTAAAATCCCAGAGAACAAATTGTTGACACTTATGGGGAAATGAAAAAGAGTTACATTAACAATCATGCAATTCACACTAATAGATTTTCAGGAAAATGGAGGACATTCAAATGCGAGTGCGACTTCTAACCACAGACAGGTGCACGGCGCAAACCCGAGCAGGCGTTTTCTCATAGAAACGCCTTCTATGCCAGCGGCCGTAAGCAGACAAACTTTCTGAAGAGAATTTCGATGCTTTCAAATTGACTCTAAGCGGAACAAAGTGTAGCGAACTTGCTGAATTGACTTCTAGAGCGCTTAGGAAAATCGAGGGAATAGAGAGAATTTCAGGAAAATTTACACCTATTATAAAGTACTCTTCAAGTAGATTCTAACGGTCCTTACCGCTTTTCATCACATCAACTTTGAAAGAAGTTATGGGCCTTTGAAGACTGCATAGTCGGTTCATGAAAATGCTTGAAAAATCAAGGGGAAACACGAGAACAAGGGAATATTGTTCGAAGATGGTGAGGGATTCGTCGGAAAAGATTCAGCACTTACTTTGGAAAGCTCTAATCTTTCCAGTTCTAATTAGCCTTAGACATCTGCAAAAAAGAAGGCTATGGAGAAAGTTATGAACGTTTGAATGTCGAAAACTCGCGCCTTCTCAAAACATCGGACCACAACCCCACCCACAAAAAACGGAACAACGTTTACAAAAAATCTTCTGATCCCGACAGAAATTTATTCAATATTTCATTTTTCTCGATACGCGTCCACGAATACATAGAAAAACGGCGCTCTACGCCATCCTCGCGCCGCGGTAAGGGCGCAAATTTTAGCGGATTCCAGCTACTCGTTTTGCGCTATTTATTTGTTAGAACATTTTCGCCTTTTTCCGTTCCAGATCTTTCGTAGTGCCTTAAGAGGCGCGCTAAGGCTATAAAGCATTAGAAGATTTCCTGCGTAAGTTGTATGGGGGGGGGGAGGACAGGCGCCGCCGGGACGTCGCGAATTTTCTGTAACCGACATTCAGGTCTCAGCATGTCATGTGACTGCCCACAACTCCTTGGAGGAGGAGGTGGGGTCGTATATGACCCCTTGAAAGGGAGGAGGTCGTAAAAATTTCGAAATTCGCGCAACGCACGGCTGACCCTGACAAAATTGTTGGTAAACTTTTAGGGCATTCACGTTACAATTGCTTAACGTCAAAGTATTTCAGGGTGGCTACGTGTGCAGAATCAAAAACCGTGGGAGATACCAGAACACTTGACGTATGTGCGCTCTACGCGAACGTAGACAGTAGCGACAACAACTAAACACTTCCTATTAGGTTGGCCGGAAAGAAATGTCGCTCACCTTCGTGGCATTGTTTCTACGCTGACATAATGTCTCCTAATGCATGGGTAGTGCACGGCAGGATATAATAAATGCCAGGAAACGATGGCCTCTAGCCAAAAAATTTTGTCTGAGCACGTTGAGTACAAAATGCCGCACTCATGGGTCCATTTAGCACACCTTCAAACAAGGAACAGCGATCACTGATTCATAATGTACAAAACATCCAATAGCAACGCTTAGTCTCTGAGGCAATTACTGCCATGGTTTCGTCGTTTCCAAGAGTGAGGTAAATGTCGTGAGGACGAAGAGCATGCATACCAATTTGAGCTGCTGATAACAAGGTACTAAAGATAACCATTGAATCGAGTCATTTCCAAACTACACAGAAACCTGGATGAAGGTATGAATGCATCAACACTGAATCGTGAAAGTTTCTCGCATTGACTGGTAAGGCCAACTGGTGCGGAGAAGTTTCTCTGAGCAAAGCACTAACAGTGCACTCTGCATGGTTTAACTCTGACCCACATGCTCAAGGAAATAGGGTTTCTGTTTCGCTGTGATGGTTCTTTAAGAAAGAGGATTCCAGATGACAGATGAGAAAACGGCAATGTGTTGGCTAGACTGCAAGTGACAGTGTGAGACAATCTCCGAATCGGTTCTCCACGGCCCAAGTAAAGGTGTTTTGTATTCACGAAGTCGGATTGGCTGTAGTATGAAGGTTATTGCGATGGCAGTCAAGGTAGAATTGTAGCGCCCTAGAAATTCACTTCTTGGATCAGAGCTGCGTTATAAGGAAGGCGTCATTCTGTCTATATTGAATGTAAACACAGAGCGCAGAGCCCCCATGCTTGTGGAATTACCCGGGAGAGAAATCGAAAGAGTAAGAGATGAAGCTTGCACCGCTGTTTCGATTAGAGCAGGCTTGGTCTTCAGATTTACCAATCATCCTGGTTGGCATGCCCACACCTTGGCTAAGAATACGTTCAAAATTACGACGCTGCGAAATTATGTCAACTTTCGAGTACACACAGAAGTTCGTCAAAGATGTCACTTTCTGCACAGAATGAGGGAGGGGTCGATGCTCTAGATGAGAGTAACGATAGATTATCTGTATATGTTGTTGTTTTACAAGAAATTCATTGGTGACCAAAATGACATATCTTATGGCCAATTGTTTCAATTCAAGATAACATCTTTTGCAGTCAGCTCCTACCATTGCTTTATGGGTAGATAGAAAGACCCGCCACACAACCATGCTAAATGAAATAAGCAAAGGTTGTGACGTTAAGGTTTGAATGAAGTGAGTTCGTGGGCCAAAGAATTCAAAGCTGATAGATTTTCAAGTGTTAACACAATATTTCAACACAAAACCAGGATTCACGATAGCCATATTTGCATCAGCCTAGCATGTGCTTTATGGGCGAGAATAGAAAGACACGCCACCACACCATGGCCACTATATGCTTGTCGAATATGACGATGTTTAGCGAAACTTTTAGCTCAAAATGAGTATGATTTTTTACATTCTCAACCAGCTGTCGCAGTTTATAAATTTCACGAGTGAAGCTCCAGACATGACGATTGGCTACCTTACTCAACTACACAGACTAAATCTTGAATGGAACTTAGTGTGATGTGGTGGAGAAAAATCAAGTAGAACAACATCCTTCTCCATGCGAAGTCTGCACATCTCAGCACTATAAAAAGTGCTTTATCTGAAACAGTTACAAAAGGCTGTTGCCAGCTCGTACAATCACGTGGAGCCGAAGGTTAGTCAGCATAAAGATAAGCATGGTTTCCAGAGATGAATGCGGTACTGAATACAAGTCGGAGTATCGGGATCACAAGCTCCTGCGAAAATCGCGAATTTGAAAGGGAAACAGCGATAATGATCTGACGTTCGCGATTCTGACGTTCATATCGGATGAGCTGTTTAACATTTTTTACTGCAGCACATTGATTGATTGAGTAACGGTTAACGGTGACGGATTAGACGTACAAAAGGGCAATATCAATAACATCAGCTAATCTGCTATCGCTAATGCGCTACGGAAAATTGCGTCGTTTGCACATACAAAAGGAGTGGAGATTGCGTTGAGAGGACCTGTACACCAACTTCAGTGGTCAACCTGTGACGAAGCGTATATTGTTGAAACAGACAATATATGGGTGGTCAAGGCATAGTCCCGAATCGATCGAATCGTTAGCAGAGTTGGCTTCCGAGTGTTGCACCAGCAAATTCGAGTGCAACCAGGAAGTCAGCGAATATACCAGCGACTCAAATATTGGCGCGGACCAATCTCTCCAGGGAAAGCGCGCTATAGTTTAACAGTATCCGTAACAGCGGGACTCCTTGATGCAGCGGTGTATAATCGCTTGAAGTTATTACGCAGTACGAGGATTCTCTGCCCGATCAGAGACGATCTCTCGCGCGGACATTCACACTCGCCATGCCGTGCCGTCTGTGCTCTCCGCGCGGATGTTCACTCTCGGCACTACTCTCGCATGGTAGAGAGCTATGGTCGAGGATTTCCTCGACCGTTATTCACCCTGCTTTTGAGAGGGCGGATTTGACGTGGACACTGTTGGAAAGTGGCGGCTCTCTGAACAATTGGTCCCGTCCTGTATGACCGCGGGAGAGCAAGGTTCAATTCGCTAGTGCACAACGCCCATGCTATTCGCGGCGCAGCATACCAGCGATTTCGCTAGCGAATCGCTGGTGTGTGAGCTTACGTTAAGCATAGCCAGGTAGATCAGCGCAAACAGGGGGTCGCCTTCATTTGAGTATACCAGTGTGAATTCACTCCA